AATTAGAATTTATTTTTTCAATTTTTGAGGGTAATATCTTTAACTAGATACGAATTGTAGTCATTTGACGTATCGTTGAAAAAAGTAGGTCAAGTTAGAGATGAGAAAATAAATGATGGTCACAAAAAAATATCTTCTCAGCTTTGCATCGAAACTAAAACAAATTTACATTAAAACAAGTTTACTAACTTAAAAAGAATTAAGAAAAAATGAAAAAAATTCATTGCCACACGCGAGTTGGAATCTCGTACCCCAAGCTCGTAAAACACAAATTTTACCAAGTCAGCAACCGTATGTCGCTACTTTCGGTTGAAAAAATTGGCTATTTAAGCTAGTTCAAATTTCAAAGTTATTTTTCTCGACTTAAAAGAAGCAAACAAATTTAAATAAGTTTAACTTTTTATGCTATATTAATTTTTTATTTATATAATATTTATGAAAATCTGTACTCCCCTTTAGGTATTTTAAAATAAAATAAAATACAAAACCCAGAATTTTAACACAAAAATAGCATATTTTTGAATACGGTAGTCATTTTTACCATGAAGACAAATCCAGAGGTCAAATTTTTTTTTTTCAAATTAAAGTATATTACATAAGCTTTAATTTAAAATATATATATATATAAAAGTGTCAGTATTTCTGGAATACTTTCAAAAATTAAATTGAAAATATCCTAGTAACAATACGCATGTTGAAAGTTTTGACCCCCCTTGTTAAAGGGGTATGATCCGATTTACAAAAAAAGCATGTAGATGAAAGGAGTATATAAATATTTATTATAAAAAAATAATAATATTGATCCATACATTTTTCCAAAAGTTATATAAAATATAAATTAAATAATATAACATATAAAATCGAGATTTTTTTCACGGAAATCGTACGTTTTTCTTTAACTTTGATGTCCGTTTTCACCACGAAGACAAGTCCAGAGGTCAAATTTTTTTTTTTCAAATTAAAGTATATTACATAAGCTTTAATTTAAGATATATATAAAAGTGTCAGTCTTTCCGGAACATTTTCAAAAGTTAAGTTGAAAAAGTTCTACTTTCTATACGCATTTTAAAAGGTTTGCACCCCCCCTGTATAAAGGGAAATGGTCCGATTTTAAAAAAAAGTATGTCGAATGAAAGAAGTATATATAAAGTATTTATCATTAAAGAATAAAGTTGATTCATGCATTTTTTAAAAAGTTATAGCAACATAATGTTAAAAAATGTAAAATATAATATCAAGAATTTTTTCACAAAAATAGCATATTTTTGCATACGGTAGTCATTTTCACCACGAAGACAAGTCCAGAGGTCAAATTTTTTTTTTTCAAATTAAAGTATATTACATAAGCTTTAATTTAAAATATATATATATATAAAAGTGTCAGTATTTCTGGAATACTTTCAAAAATTAAATTGAAAATATCCTAGTAACAATACGCATGTTGAAAGTTTTGACCCTCCTTGTTAAAGGGGTATGATCCGATTTACAAATAAAGCTTGCTAGATGAAAGGGGTATATAAATATTTATTATAAAAAAATAATAATATTGATCCATTCATTTTTCCAAAAGTTATATAAAATATAAATTAAATAATATAAAATAAAAAATCGAGAATTTTTTCACAGAAATTGTACGTTTTTCTTTAACTTTGACATAGCATATTTTTACATAGGGTAGTCATTTTTACCATGAAGACAAGTCCAGAGGTCAAATTTTTTTTTCAAATTAAAGTATATTACATTAGCTTTAATTTAAGGTATATATAAAAGTCAGTCTTTCCGGAACATTTTCAAATGTTAAGTTGAAAAAGTTACCATTTTGAAACCCTTACTGTGGGCTGTTAAAGTGTCAAATGTTCACAAAAATATATAAAATTATAGGTAAATATCTAAGTTATCTATAAAAAAAAAATTATATTGATTTGGTCATTTTTAAAAAAGTAATGGCAATTTGAAGTAACAAAAATTGAAAAAATATCAAAAATTAGCGATTTTTAAATTTGTAATTTTTTGGGGGATTTCCCCCGTTTACAAGGAACGAGGGAATTTTTTTCAAATTTTGAGGGTAATGTCTTCGACTAGATACGATTTGTGATCTTTTGACANTGAGGGTAATGTCTTCAACTAGATACGATTTGTGATCTTTTGACATATTTTTCATCAAAATCGAATCAGTGAGAGCTACAGACAAAAAAAAAACACATCATAGTAAAATTAATACCTTTTCAGCTTCGCATCGAAGCTAAAAAAGAAAAACCCACAGAACACTAATCCCAATATAAAAAGTAACTCAAGAGAGCAAATTAAGGAATTAAGATTAAGACCATAAGAGTCTCAATTATTTCAATATCTGCTCAAGCAAAACATCTGTATAAATATATGATATTATATATTATTCTTGTTCTTTTAACTTTATTCTATAATTTTTTTCTTTCCCGATTTTCATTGAGTTACAACATGTGACATTTTATTCTAGCTCTGCGTTTTTGCAGAATAGTTCTTTTATCTCTGATGGATAGGTTGTCTCTCGATATCTGTCTTTACAAGTTTCTGGAGTAGCTTTTTTTGCCGCTTTGACAATATCATTAGTTAGTTTATGTACTAATGTTTCTATGTCACTTGCTGTTTTCAACTGTACGGAAAGTGTGATAGTTCAAGTACTTTTAGAGTACGTCTGAACTGGTGTTCATCGCCAGTCATAATTTTAATATCGCCGTTAGCAATAGTTTTTAACTGTTACTCATGACCAATAACTTCTCGCGAGTTAAATTAGAAATTCAATCGTTGATATATTTAACACCATTGGGAGTTGGTGTTAAATTATTGGAGGTGGTTTATAAATTTTTGGCGCAAGTTTTAATACATTTTTATCTATTTCATTTACTTGTTATTTTGATGAACTACGTGAAGCATCTGAGCTACAGCCTGGTTTATCACTAATAAAATTTTTATTTTCATTATTATCATGTATGCTACTTACACGCTGATTAACTTGTTGAGTTTTCAACTTCTCATTGCTTATTTGGAGATCTACTACCATTTTTCTTAATGATTCATTTTCAGTTTGTATTTGATTCTTTAATACTTAATTCTTTGATACTTTGATCAATTACAATTTGATTTAGCTGTGTAATTATATTATCATACATGTCCATTGTTGACAAAAACGGGGGTAAGAGCCGTCGCACGCAACTTGACCTAAATAACTATTAATACACTTAGCACTTTATTGTAGTAAGCGAAAGCATTTTTCGTTATTGAGTATTTATAAAACAATACGCGCAAATTCGACACTGTAAAGCAAAACATTTGTGTTACTCGTTCAACAAATAAATTGAAACTGCTAATATTATTTAAAAATTAAAAGTATATCTTAAAATATTAATTGGATTTAACACATCATAGTAAAACCAATACCTTCTCAGCTTCGCATCGAGCTAAATTTAATCTTGATATTGTAAAAATTGCTGATAATTCATTTTTTCAATCATCAAAAAATGTGTTTTTTTGTGTCTGTTACCACTTTTTCTCAGCTTTCACCGAACCGATTTCTTTCAACGATATGTCAAAAGATCACAAATTGTATTTATCCGAAGACATAACCCTCAAAAATTGAAAAAATTTCCCTCGGTCCCCGTAAATGGGAAAACCTCCAAAAAAATTACAAATTTAAAAATCGCATATTTTCGAAATTTTTTCAATTTCTTTTTCTTAAAACTGCAATAACTTTTTAAAAAATAAATTAATAAATATAATTGTTTTTTTTATAAATGCATGATGTCTTTACTTATGATTCGGTATATTTTTTTTATAAATCTGACTCTTTACCTGCGCACAGAGGGGGATTTAAAATTACATTTTTTTCAATTTAACTTTTGAAAGTGTTTCGGAAAGTCTGACACTTTTATATATATTTTAAATTAAAGCTAATAAATTGTACTTTATTATAGAAAAAGAAAATTTCGGACTTTATTTTATCTTCACGGTGAAAATGGCTACCGAATGCTATTATTGTGTGAAAATTCTCGATTTTATGTTTTACATTTTTAACTTTATAATCCTATGACATATTGTTAAGTGTATGGATCAACATTATTTTTTTATGAGAAATAATATTTTTTAATAATCCCTTTATCATTCGATATACTTTTTCTTAATCAGGATATTAATAAGGAAATAGCGGATCGTGTAGCTATTGTAGTAATCCAACAAATTTTTTTAATTAAACACTATCTAAAGATTTATATTTAAGCGTTTTTTATGATAGTGATATTAATCACTGTCAGATATCGTTATACTTGATCCAACTATGACACATCGCCACTGTGCCGCGATCCCCCTGTGCTGGGTTTTTTCCTATGCTATTACCTAGAAAATTGAATTTAGTCTTTTCATATAAATATAGTTTTAGTGCTCTTACAATTATTAAATATATTTCAATAAAACAATATGAAGTTGTAGAATATTAAATAAAGTATGTAGGTTACATTTTTCTGATTCAATCAATTATTGTAAATACCAGTATAACTATTCAAACCAGGTCTAGGAATCGTAATGATTTTTGTTATTCAAGTTATTTGACCTACTTCAATTTTTTTTTTTAATTTTGTATGGAAAATATTTGAAAAAAAAAGTAATTGTAAAAATCGATTTTAAAATAAAATTTGATTACATAAAGTTTCAAAATCAAAATTTACCGATATATTTTTTTTAGTTAATTTTTATTTTTAACTTTTTTAAGTCAAATTTTAAGTTTATTTAAGGTTTCAAAAGTGGTCTCATAATATCATATTTATGATAATATTTATAATTTTTATAATCATTTTTCAATTTGTACTAAAAATATATGACCTAATTTACTAGATAAATAAAAATTGAAAAAAACCATAATTATTTCAGATTTTTTTCCTTTTTTAAACTCTTTAAATTCTTAAAATATATATGTGACAAATTAATTTTATTATAATTCTATAATTAAATCACATTATTTCTCAATTTACTTGTTTATGGAGTTTAGTTAATAAACCAATTGAAGTTGTCATTTGAGTTTTACTAGGACTTGATCTTAAATTTGTTATTGATTCCTGGTAATCTTCAGGAACTTTTTTTAGAATTATTTGAAAACAATCATATAGCTGATCATTTGGATTAATATTAAGACTAACATTTTTTATCGACTAAAATCATATTATTGAGTATTAAAAATATATATTTATATGCACACACACATATAATACCTCTACTACATCTTCTAATGCTCCTTCAGATTCTAATTTTTCTGTGTTTAATTTTGAGAGCTTGAAATATACTTTCTTTAATCTGTACTTAATCTGACTAGTTCTCCATAATTCTGTAGGTATGTCAACTAAAGCAATACCCAATAATAATATCAAGAGAAATAATCCCCAAGTATTACTAGCAGATGATACAATAGCTTTTAATTCTTGCCTATAGTAAAGACAAAAATAAATTTAGTAAAAAAAAATTAAAAAAGAGCAGTGTAGTGAGGTCGCGGCACAGTATGGATGTGGCATATTTGGGACAATTATATGTGTAGATGTAGATACTGTTTAATTTTAAGAAATTTGGTGGATTATTCCAAAAGCTAAATTAACTCTTATTTTTTGTTCAACTTCGACGGCCATTTGCACATAGAAGATTGGTCGTTTGGATAATTTTTTTTTCAACTTGTAGAATGTAACATAAGTTTTAATTTAACATATATTTAAAAGACGCGGTATTACCGGAACATTTTCAAAAGTTAAGTTGAAAAAGTTCTTCTTTTTATACATATTTTTCAAGTTTAGAACGCCCCCTGTATAAGGGGAAATTTTCTGATTTAATAATAAAGTATGTCGGATGAAAAAGGTACACATAAAGTATATAAAAACATAATTTTGTGTTGATTTATTCATTTATTAAAATTTTATAGCTATTTGTATGTTAAAAATAAGTCGTTGGGACAATATTTTGATTTATTTATTTTTGAAACATTTTTACATTTTTAAGAGAAAAAAATATCAAAATTTATCGATTTAAAAAATTGTAATTTTTTGAGGGATTTTCTCAATTTACATGGAACGAGGGAAATGTTTAAAATTTGTAAGGGTAATGTCTTCAATTAGATATGATTTGTGATATTTTAACATATGGTTGAAAGAAATCAATTAAGTGAGAGCTGAGACAAAGTGGCGACAGTTATTAAAATTAATATCTTATCAGCATCACATCGAAGCTAAATAAAATATTCCTGCATATTACTTATTACATAAGTTATTACAATTAAAATTCTTTAAAATAATTCAATTTAATGATCTAAAATAATTTGATACTATAAAAACTATAATTGAAAATCTTATTAAAAATAATTTTTCTCTTACCAATTAAGATGAACACCCCGTTTCAAAGCAATGTAAATAAGTAGGACTGTTGCTATTGTCAATAATGTACTATAATATATAGTATTATATTTTATAGCATTTTTTAATTTTTCTTTCAATGTAAACTCACCTGATTTTACATAATATTGCATGAATGGCATTATAAAACTAAAAAAAAACATAAAACTTCAATATATTGCCAATTCAATTATTAATAATTAATAATTGAATTGACAATATATTATTATAATTATTATATTAACTTAAAAATAAATATTAATTAACTAAATACAGTTTTTGGTAAATAAAGAATTTTTAAATGGTTAGATTTAAAACTACAAAAAAAGTTTCTTTCACTATTAAAAAATAAAAAAAGTTGCTGCAAAAACTTTTTTTGCATTAGACTTTGCAATATCTAGTACTAGCACTACTCCAAATAAAATGGCAAAAATGCCATTGAAACAAATTAATTAATTATTTAGTTTTAAAGCAATATTTTATTGTACTTAATATTATATATGAATATTTTAATTACAAAAGATACCAAGTGAGTAATTGTGAAGTCCAGTATACAACTCTCCAAAAATTTGGTAGTGTAGATGGTGGAACATAGCTCCACGGTTTTTTGCAGTATTCATTTTTATAACACTTGATACATTTACGGTAAGTAGCCTAAAAATAATATTTAGATCTCTTTATTTCATTGAGCGTTGGAAAACTATTTATTAATACATAAAGAAAATAATCTTGTTTAAAAAAAAAATTATTTATTGTAGTAGATTAAAAGTTTACTTGAAATAGTAGTTTTACTTACTAAAGATATATCAATAGGAAGAACAAAAATAATCAAAAGTGAAAAATACCAAGAAATTAACACAGTAATCGTAACAATAACATTTTGAGTTTTCCAATTCCCATACCGGTTAAGTAATACTATAGTTAAAATGAAAGCAAATACAACTTCTATGGTAAATATTCCAACAGTCATTTTACTAAATAAAGTATTCATCTGTTAGAGAGTTCCTTTTCATTATCCATTATTTTTTATAATTAGATTATTATTTAATAAATAAAATAAATAATTACTGAAGTCATATACTTGCAACTTGAAAAATTAAAGTTGACACTATTATAAGGTGATACGATCATACTCCACATTATTATTGTAACGCCGATTAGACTTATATCGTTGACACAGTGACACATGTATTACTACAGGAAGGCAGACTACACCCATAAACAGTGTTTATTAAACATTTTTGGAATTCACGGCCACTGTCTCATAATACTAATATGCTAAATCGCAGTTGACTTTTTACCATCATCGCGACCATTATTATTTTATCTTAGATTAACTTGCATTACCTACCACGTAAATAGTGTGTTTGTGTGTGTATTGCCGTTAGCTCTCTGTTGGATTATATCATCTCTAGGTGACCAGCAGGTTGTATTGTTTATTTACTTACCTTACTTAATAAACTATTATATCATTGTTAACCAAGAGTGTATATATATATATTTAGTGTGACCCTTGGTAGTTACTCTGAGGGAAAATAAATTAAAAAGGAAACCTATGTACCTAAGGTAGATATAGCCTAGTCAACTATCCCCTGTTAGTCCCTTTAGAATACTGTTGACGGGAATTTAGGCTCAACCCCTAAATAGCAACTTAACAAAGGTATAAGGAATGAACATGAAATATACTTTATAATTGATAAAGTAAGAAAAAAATTGAACTAAAAGAAACCAATGAAAAAATTATTTTTATTGTTTGATTAATTAAGTAGTTAAATCACTGTGTATACTTACCAGATGATTCTAAAAAATGTTTGAACAATTATCAGTGATCAGTATAAAAAAAATATCATGAAAAATGTAATTATTTAAAATATCACAAACGTGAATTTCGTATCTCTCAAAAAGTGACAACAAAATCAAAACATTTAAGTAAATTTTATTAAAATTATTATTAAAAAAAAAATACAATACTTAAAAACAAAATACACTATCTACTGTCGCTAATGATTACTACTGTCACCATCGTAATACTTAAAAACATAATTTATTAATAGAAAAAATATTTATTAAAAGAATGGCTAAAAAAATTATATCTTATTAGTATAGTATCCTGATTTTAGCTTCAATGCAAAACTGAGAAGATATTAATTTTACCATAATGGGTTTTATCTTTATTTTTTTATTTATTTTTTATTTTTGTATTAGTAACTACTATTTCTCTGCTCTCACCGAATTGATTTCTTTCAGTAATACGTTAAAAGATTAAAAATCATATCTAGTAGAAGACATTACCCTCAAAAATTGAAAAAATTTCCCTCGTTCCCCGTTAATGGGAAAAATCTCCAAAAAATTACAAATTTAAAAATTGCTTATTTTAGAAATTTTCGAAATTTTTTTACCTTAAACTGCTATAACTTTTTTAAAAATGACCAAATCAATATAATTTTTTTTTTTATAAATGCTTGATATCTTTACCTATCATTTGGTATATTTTTATTATAAATTTAACCCTTTACCTGCCCACGGGGGAATTTAAAATGACAACTTTTTCACAAAAAATTAACTTTTTCAACTTAACTTTTGAAAGTGTTGCGGAAATACTGACACTTTTATATATACCTTAAATTATAGTTAATGTAATAATCTTTATTAGGGGAAAAAAAATTTGGTTTTTATTTTGTCTTCTGCCTGAAAATGGCTACCATATGTTATATTTGTGTTAAAATTCTCGAATTTATAATTTACATTTTAAACTCTATATTTCTATAACTTCTATTTAATCTTAAATTAAAACTCATATAAAATAAAATGTCTACAGACATCCAGGCATCAGACGCCCTCTGTATTATTTATGTAATATAAGCAATATTTAAGTATTCATTATCAGAACAAATTTACAGAGATGCCAAATTATAAATGGATAAATAAACATGAGATATAATTTTAAATAATTAAATTAAGAATATACCAACAAGGTAAAGAACAGTTTAGGTTAGGGTAAAATGGACATTTCACTAACGACAATGGGTATCTTCTACATAAATATATGGGACCCATTGAGATGTTCACCATGTCCACCCTGACCGCACCCGAGTACCAGTTAGCTCATGAAAGGGTAAGAAAGAATAATCAAAGAAACAGGAAAGACTTGACCATACAATATAAGTCAGACTATAGTTAAAATTTATACAGGGTGTTCAGTAACAAATAAAAAAAAAAACATATCGTGTGATCAGTTAACCAAAATAAAAGACAAAATAAATAATTTTACATGAGCACATTATGGAAAAAAAGGAAAAAACAAAGGAAGATATACCATATTAATTGTTGAGATGTCTAAGTCCATATGATCATTATTTAATGCTATAATAATGGCCAATTCATAACGAAACGATAATGGCGAAGTAAAAACTACAAAATTAAATAAAGGGTGGGGGGGTTGGAGAAATGGACCCATAAGTTATGGCAGTTTTAAGTACAAAAAACATCCCGATAGTAGGTGATTTTTTTCGCAAACATTACATTTTTTGTTTTTTTTTGCACATAGAAGATTAGGTGTCAAATTTGTTTTTTTTTAATTTATAGTGCGTAATATAAGCGTTAATTATGACAATTAACGCTTATATTACGTTTAAAGGACGCAGTATTTCCGGAACACTTTCAAAAGTTAAGTTGAAAAAGTTCTAATTTTTATACAATGTTTCAAGTTTTGAACGTCCCCTATATATGGGGAAATTGTCCAATTTAAATAAAAAATATGTCAAATAAAAGAAGTACTCATAATGTATTTAGGAAAAAAAAAATGTGTTAATACATACATTTTTTGAAAAGTTATAGCAATTTAAAGTTGAAAGTTTAAAATCGAAAATTTTAATACAAAATTAGCATTTTTGTAACTACGTCAGTAAGCTGAACAGCAACAACCGAGTACTGAGACTGATGAATGACACAAAGCAACTCAAGTCGACTGACCCCGTTAGCCAGGTATTTTGGGTTTAAATAGTAATTAGGACAATTGCAAATTTCGCAATAAATATTAAGCGTTAATTCATCAGTGTCTAAAAGCGTATGTCTTGTCTGTATTTTATTACAATAATGGTAACGTGACACCATCACAATGAAATTAAGAAAAACACTTGCTTTAAAAAATGTACCCTTTCACATAAATATCTTCATGTTAAAAAAACCCAGCACAGGGGGGTCGCGGCACAGTGGTGACGTGGCATAGTTGGATCAAGTATTATGATATCTGACAGTGATTAAAATCACTATCATAAGAAACGCTTCGATGCAAATCTGTAGATAGTGTTTCATTTAGAGAAATTGGTGGATTATTCCAAAAGCAACATCAACTATTATTTCTTTAATTATATTCTGATTAGTAGTACTTTGATTTTAAAATATAATATATGAATAAAAACTAATTATAATTTTCAAATTCAGTATGAAATTGTGAGGCCAGCTATGATGTATGGTTCATAGTGTTGGGCGGTTGATAAGAAAGTAGAGCAGAGAATAAATGTAGCAGAGATGAGAATGCTTAATTGGATGAGTGGAGTGACTAGAGAAGATAGGATAAGGAAGGAGCATATAAGAGGAAGTTGGGTTAATCAATCGTGGATAAGATGACAGAAAATAGACTTAAGTCATGTTAAGTCATGCTATGAGGAGAGAAGAATCGGAAGCTGTAAGAACAGTTATAGAAATGAATGTTGAAGGAAGATGAGATAGAGGAAGACCAAAAAAGAGATGGAGGGATGCTATTGAATGCGATTCGAGGACAGCTGATATGAGCGTAGAAGATGTGGGAGATAGTAAATGTAAATGTAATGTAACTCGAAAAATATTTGTTTAAATGAAAAACTATAAAATAAATTGTTTGTTTATAATTGTTTTTTAAACAACTTTTGTACGAAACTTTTTTTTGTAAGTTAAATATTTTTTGAGAAAATTAAAAAAGCTCATATTTTTGAACTTTTGCGAGGCTGTAAAAAAAAGCTCAATTTCAATCAATGAAGACTATTAGTATGTCATTATACATATTTTAATTCAACTATTAATAAAACAAAATTTGGTTGGGAATTTTTTAAGAAATTTTTCCTTTGTTGACTGGCCTAGATGTCAATTTTAAATTTGTAATTGAGCTAAAAGTTATGGTAATATATTCAATTTTTTTTGCTATAAACTTTCATAAATCTTTATCAAAAATTGTTCATAAATTTTAAAGAACCAAAAAAATAGGTTAAAAATGAAAATTTGGATTGATCATTTTTAACATATTAAAAATCAAATCAGTAATAAATTGAAAACAATTCTTTTTTTCTTTTAATTATTTTTATATGTAATTAGTAATAATATAAAAAAAATAAAGAACTGATAGATAAAGTCTAATTGCAGATTTGAAAACAACGCGAAAAGTTGATTTAGAAAAGTATATTTTTGCTTCTGATGAAAGTTCCTTGTAGTCCAGTGCATTTTTTTATAGTAACAAACAGTTTTTATTGAAAATTATTGTATCAAGCCCTTTAAATTTTTATACACGTAAAAGTAAAGCAAAATATAACTTCTTTATTATTTTTATAATTTCTCCGTTTAAATTACAATATTAAATATCAATTTCATACTAAATTTAATAATTATAATTAGTATATATTCAAATATTATATTTTAAAATCAAAGAACTACTAATCATGATATAATTAAAGAAATAAGAGTTGATGTTGCTTTTGGAATAATCCACCAATTGCCTAATTAAAACAAAAAAAAAAAAAGTTTGTTGGGAATTTTTTCTGCTATTCTGCAAAATTACTCCTTCGTTGACTAGAATGAATCATTAAATAGAAAATTTTATGAGAATTAAAACAATGTTATTTTTAAGATTAATATGCAGTCAGAAAGTTTTATAATTATTATTTATTGTAAATTTATCAGAAAAACTCATTATTTTTTGCATTTTTATCGTAATAGAAC